ATGAAAATGAGTACAAGAAAATTGGAAAATATTTGGATAGCAAACATGTTTTTTTTCTATGAAAGTGAACCTTCTCGCCATCAAAGGCATGTATATATATGTAGGCTTAAGTTGGAAAAAATCAAATTGTCTACAGGAAGTAAGCTCGATAAGTTACAAAAACTATTGTATCCATTCATTTTACTTAATTTTTACTTGAATTCTGAAGAGAAAATAAATCAAAATGTTTGTAAATTGACTTCTTTCCTTGGAACAAGTTTTCTCTTTATTTCAAAACAACACTCATAGTTGCAGGAAAAAGTTTCTGTCGTAATACATAAGTAGGAAAGTAAGTGAACTCTGTAAGGTTAATGGGATTTAACTAAAACTGAAATTGAATAAGAGAAAATACAATATACATGCTTGATTTTCTCTGTAACAATACTGATTATTAAAAGAAATTATTCTGATTTAAATAGTGAGTATTTATTGAAAAAATGATTTAATTATTGAAAGAATTAAATATTGTAAGATAACTCATCATTCATTACAAGAATTTATTAGTTGAATATGAACAGTATATCATGCTACTATTCTTTGACAGACTCGATCGATGCCAAGTCTAATTCCTGCTACCCTGTACCATAAGTCTGTTGTCTTGAAAGTGGATAGGACAGTACAGAACATGAGCACAATCGACTCGTATTTTGTTGGATCAAATTCAGCTTGGCTCAAACTCATGTTCAAAATATTGATTGAGCATTGGTTCAATTAGATTTCACTTTTTAGAAAGCAATTTGATTTCGACTGGATGCATTTTTTTATCTTCAGTGTATGGTAGTACAGTACGTCAGAACACAGATTCTTTCTAAGATAGTTATAGATTATTAAGACCCATAACATCCACTATGCTTCAGCTGAAATACGAACGAATACTTGAGAATATTTTACTCTGAGCGAAGAAGGTTTCTAATTCATTATAACTAATTTATAATTCACTTTTGTATACTTTTAATCCAGATCCTATTCAGAATGATGTGTAATAATGAAATTAAAGTCTAAATCGACTAAACAGGACTTCCAGATCAATTATAATTAATTTCTAATCAGTCATAATCAAAATTATCAATCTAATTATTACGAAAAAAATCAGAATTGTAAGTGATTCAAATTACAAATTTCTAATCAGTTATAATTCATGGGAAATTTGTGATTTTAATCAAACATAATCCTACTTTGGTTGCATGCCCAAGTCGAAAAGTATGTTAAGAAAACAATCGGTTCCGACGATCCCATGAAAGCAGTATACTGGCTACGTATTTTTTTGAATTTCTCTATGGCTATTACTCGATCTGAATAATAATTAGCCTTATAATTTGGACTAATGCCTAGAGGATTTTGCAATTCTAATTAATGTTAACCGAGGAAACGTATTATTGGGCGGTATAAAAATCTAATAAACCTTGTATAATCAACGTTTCATTTTAATTCGAAACCACCTATTTAGTTTTATTCAAGCTTCAATTATTTATCGAGTGGTATCTTAAACAAACTAGAAAATCATGTCCATACTCTTCTAAAAACGAGTCATTTTTGGCTCATATACTCTTTTCTAAAGTTCAACAAAGAGCCTACTTGACACAGTCCTCAATTAAGACAAAAACTTCACCGATCAATTTGTGTTTTATACGTAATAATTTTTGAATCTGGACAATATAAGTCTTAAAAGTGTCATATGAAATAACTCTACCTTTCTACTAATAGCGAAATACTTCCAAGATATTCATTTATATCCGTTAACGAATAAATATTTATGAGAACTCTCATAATCATAGCACACAATAACTATACGTAAAATGAGAAAAAATATCGTTCAACAACAAGCTTTCGACTATGGCGACCTACGTATATTTGTTATATTTCTGTAAGATAATTGATCAATTATATTTTATCTCTGTAAGACAAATGATCAATTATATTTTATGTCTGTAACAAATGATCAATTATATTTTATGTCTGTAACAAATGATCAATTACTCACCTTTGTTTTTCCAATCTACAATAATTATATGCAATTAGCGTTACATACATGAATAAAAACAAAAATATGTATTTTCTCATTTACTAATTGCTTGTTATTTTTAATGAGATAAAATACAAGCTGAAAAAATGTAAACGATCGTTTATGCATCACTGAAGCGTATAAAAACGAGAATATAAAGCGTATTCTCATTACATATTCGTTTACTTATTTGCTTTCATTTAAATTCAAAACTCGTATACTCGATTATTCTGCTTCGAATTTGGTCGTGTTTGAATATTATTTCACGGTAAATACTTCTATACTTTTTATATTTAGTTTATATCATTCCAATGATATCATTCATATTGAGAATTGTTGCTCTATTTACAAATAATGAAAGCGGAGCAACGTGTATAGATTTCGTACTTCATCATCACCCTATCCTACAAAGTAGTAGACAGAGCCTAAACGAAAAACCCAAAATAAACCATATAGTATCACAAGGGATTATTACTACGGTTTCGTTTCGATCTTGCGATATTATACAGCACCCTCAAGCTGAACTAATGCTTTGGTTTTCAGTCAAATTCTATTCGCGGTGCGGATAGGTACCCCAATGAGCTGCTGTTCCCGTTTCTACTAGTACTTTGCCTGATTGGATACTAAATCATATTTTCTATTGTCTGCGAATGAATAGGTTCGGCTTAGTTGAATGTGTGATGAGATAGAGACAATAGTGACACACACACTAACATTCGCTTAATCCCTGTTCTTATAATATACAGTGGTAGTCTGTTTTTGATATTTTTTTTGATTTTTAAAGAATTTGTTAAGTCCCAAAACTAACCGGCCTATTATATGTTTAATCATTCAGTGAGTCTCAAGTGGGCACTGTTTTCTAGTGTTTTCTAATATTGTCAATCGAGTTGGCATAGTGGAAGATCTGTATCTCTATAGTCCGAAAAAGGAGAGTGGTAGTTATGAACTAGGATATCGCTTATAATGAGAAACTTGTAAAATCGACATCTCCAGCTTGCTTCTATGCACTACTCGATTTTCTTATAGAAATTCATTTTAGATTTGTCTTCATTTCAATATACCACTCTTTCAATTGGCACAACGTAATGGTTCACTTAAACTTAAGACGTCCTCGAACGTGAGTTTTGAGTGTCTCTAGTGAACTTTGCCATCTTTTACTTTTTATATAGGTTTTATATACTTGGCCTATTCGTATTGGCACTATGTGCTGTCGCATGCACAATTATCCTGTCGCTAATTCCACTCTATGTATCTGGAAGTGACTTTGACATCACGAACATGAACAAATTAGTGGCCACTAGTTAGTGTTTATTTATTTATTATTATCATATGTATACGTCGTCTTTACTAGGAAAATCACTTACTTCGTTAAGTGTCTCTTACATGTTGCCACCTGGATTAATGAGAAAGCGCGCCACGCAGTCCGTCACCAACCGACAAACAACCGCCACTTGCGTAATTTTTATTTTTGATGTTAGTCTATATTATTTATTAAATTTTAGCTACAACAATCAATCGGTGCCGTTGTTAATTCCATCACTGTCAACGTCATCAGCAGTGCAACAGCAACTGGTGGCAAAGGTCGACGTCGCCGCAAGTAGTTTTCTTTTTAATTAGTTTCTGCTAGTCATATTTACCTATGACTTTATATATAGCATTCAATGCGATAAAACAGATCGTTCAGGTGAGGTCATCGTCTTTGGTATCGGATTGAATTATCCACAAAGTTTGCCATGCCAAAAGTTGACCTGTCAAATTGATCTATTTATCGACATTCGTGAAAAATTCAACACTGTAACCAATGTCAATATTACGATTGACGATGGAAGCATCTTATCATTAGAGCTTTGCCATGTTCAATCTTATCCCAGTGGCAATAGTTACAATGCAAATAATACTAATGGTATTATCATCGGTTAGTAGACTGTTTTTCTTATCACTTCTTTAGTAGCACATGTGCATTTACGTTGAACCGAGAAATTATTTAAAATAGTTTTCGATTCGAAGGGAATTCCAAAATAAATATATGAACCTAAAATTTTATGTAAGAAAACACAACAGTTTCAGATCAAATAGTGACTGTTTTTATCGTGAATATTGAGAGAGTATGCATCGATTTATGGACAATACAAGATATCTAAATGTGACGCTCCATTCTAAGTCAAACAATCGCAATATATTATAGTGTGAAGTCAAAACCCAAAACTTCTAGAGTTTGAAAATTTAGACTACGCTTGTTTATTTGAATGATGATATTACTTTAGGTTGATTCTTTTAGAAAAATCATGTTTTGTTGAGATAGAAATAAGTGTATCAGAAGATGGGCAGAAATTTAGTCGTTCAAAAACAGCGATTTTCATTTTAATACCTTATTAGTGGTCAAACGTTTTAGCGATTTTCACTGAAAGACATGGTTTATTCATGTAATCAGGGAAATCCTTTGTGATTGATCTCTCTTTTATAAATTTTAGGTCACACGTATCAGAGGATTTCTAAGATTCACCTTCTTTATATTTAAATGTTTTTTTGTTTGAAAAAGCCTGTTGCAATCGCAGAATCGATTTATTATCAAACTAATTATTACAGTAAATAACTTTAAATATTTATGAGTTACGATTAATAATAGCTGTTTCATAAGTTTTATTATTTGTAAAAGATACAACTTTCTTCAAAACTTTCGGAGAAAGATATCACTTAAGTCAATAAACAAGATTTGAAAAGAGTTTAGCACTGTATTCATGGTATGTCAACTGGTTTGTTTCAGTTGTTGTAATAGAAACATAATTATAAATAAATCTTATAAAAGAGAGATAAGAAAATCCACACGAATCTTTTTAAAGGCAGATATATTGTTAATCAATACAGAAGTGGTGAATTATAAAGAAAATTTCATTCGATCTTCTTAATTCATATAGGACCGATAACGTCAACAACAACAACGACAATAACTACAGAAATAAGCACAATCACAATAAGAACAACAATGACAACAACAACAACTACGGATATAACCACAACAACCTCAACTACATCAACTACGACATCAACTACGACATCAACCACGATATCAACCACGACAACAACCACAACAACAACCTCAACTACATCAACTGCAACAACAACAACTACAACGACAACAACTACTACAACTACATCGACAACAACTACTACTGCTACAACATCAACCACGACAACTACGACAACAACAATTTCAACTACAACAACAACAACAACTACCACTACTACTACAGCAACAACTACCACTACTACCAGCACAACTACTACTACTACAACAACTACTACTACAACAACAACTACTACTACTACTACCACAACTACTACTACAACATCAACAACGACAACAACTACCACTACTACCACCACGACTACTACTACAACATCAACAACGACAACAACTACCACTACTACCACCACGACTACTACTACAACATCAACAACGACAACAACTACCACTACTACACCAACGCCGCGTGAGTACTACGTTAAATAATTCATAGTGACTCAAAGGATGATTAATAGAAGTGACGATAATTAAAAGTATTAATTTTAGCTATTGGATGATTGTCATCTAGATAGGCAACATTAGGGAAAATCTCGTATCAGAAGTTAAAATAGAGCCAGTTTCTAATGACTTGATTTGATCTACACTTATTTAAGTATTGAATATTCTTGTTCTGTCCAATAGTATTAGATGAAGATAATGTTGATAAAAAGATTTTCATGCAAAAGAACTCATTGGCCATTTTAGTAATGACTCACACTCACCCACTGTCAAAATGATCGGAGAATAATTCTATACGCTGAAGCACTAGTTGACATAATATCGACATGAGACATGTCTATCAACACCTAATCTCATGTTTCAGGTCGCATTTGTCAGAGTTGAGTAGTTCAAAAACAAATCGTAGTAATATAAAATGAAAACTTCAGAATCGAGAAAACATTTCATAAAGAATATGATCTTAATCATAATAACAGAGAGAAGTTTATTGAAGGTTGGAATAACTTAATCTGTCATCAATAGCTAAACAACTTCTGCACATGACAGATTCGATGTCATTTTAAAAGTAATTTTTTTTCTCACTGTTCTGTTTTATTTAGAATGGACAATCACAGGAGGCATGAGTGTCGCACGATATGATCACACAGCATCCACATTAGTAAATGGGTTCGTATTAGTTGCTGGTGGATCTGGTAGTGGTGGCGTTCTCAATAGTCCTGAATTGTACAATCCATCAACAGGCACTTGGATAACTACAGGAAGCATGAATACCGCACGAACGTATCACTTAGCATCTACATTAGCAAATGGATTAGTATTAGTTACCGGTGGATACATCGTTGGTAGTTATCTCAATAGTGCTGAATTGTACAATCCATCAACAGGCAGTTGGGCAACCACAGGAAGCATGAGTATCACACGATCTTGGCACACAGCATCCACATTAGCAAATGGATTATTATTAGTTGCTGGCGGATATAACAATGGTTATCTCGGTAGTGCTGAATTGTACAATCCATCAACAGGCACTTGGACAACTACAGGAAGCATGAATGCCGCACGAGCATATCATATCGTATCCATATTAGCAAATGGATTATTATTAGTCGCTGGTGGAGTTAGCAACGGTGGTTATCTCGATAGTGCTGAATTGTACAATTCATCAACAGGCACTTGGACAACCATAGGAAGCATGAATGCCGCACGATATTTTAGCAAAGAATCGGCATTAGCAAATGGACAAGTATTAGTTACTGGTGGACTTAACAACGGTGGTTATCTCAATAGTGCTGAATTATACGATCCATCAACAGGCACTTGGAACATTACAGGAAGCATGAGTATCGCGCGAGCATATCACACAATATCCACATTGACGAATGGATTAGTACTAGTTGCTGGTGGATCTGGTAATGGTGGTATTCTCAATAGTGCTGAATTGTACAATCCATCAACAGGTATTTGGACAATTACAGTAAACATGAGTATCATACGACAATTTCATACAGCATCGACATTAGGAAATGGAAAAGTATTAGTTGCTGGTGGGTTCGACGGTGGTAGCTATATCAATAGTGCTGAGCTTTATTAATCGATATAGACAAAATGACATTTTCTTTTGTGAACTGAATCATAATTCTTTTTTTTATATATAATCAAACTATTTAATCATGCGCATTTCTTAATAAATAATCATTCACTAAATAATATATGAGTTGCAGTAATATCTTGAAATCATACTATATGGCGGTTGCTGAAAAAGAGCCATTATTGGTAAAAGACAGATCATTATTTGTACAACTGACGAGGGAACCACCTAAAGTATCTCCCTTCATTTTAGCTCATTCATATCTCGTTTAATAGACTATGTTGATGTAGTGAAAAGCCCAAAAGGATTTCGGTTGATATCTCTTCCTTTAAAAGTTATGGTCATTTCACAAAGTTTTCGGCTCTTGTCCTTGGTATAAATCGGAAAAATCAAATCAAAGAATTTCGACTTGAGATTTTGCCCATAGATAGGTCATAGTAACCGAGTTCATTTGAAAATTCATTATCTCGAGAAAGGAAAATTGTTTTAGACTGAAACTTTCAGCATATTCTAAGGACTATTGGATCTATCTATGGGCAAAATTTCAAGTCGAAATTCTTTCATTCAATGTTTCCGATTTATACCTAGAACAAGGGTCGAAAACTTTGTAAAATGACCATAACTTTTAAAGGAAGAGATATCAACCGAAATCCTTCTGGGTGTGAGTGTCTCATATCTTACCTACGCGCACGCCCACACCCGCACCTACCTACCCCACCTACACCCACATCCTATCCATCAGTATTATAAAACTATGCTAGATTAAAATCGATAATTTTCATAAAATATAAATCAGTTGATATATCATTATGGACGATAGGGTTTCAACATTGTTTTAATTTTCAAACAGAAAATATATGTTCATATAATTTTAGATGACAAAAATAAATTTTGCTTATAAAATTGTAAACTGTGGATGTTCATGTCTGATTATTAATGGATGTATTCTTTCAATATCAAGCAATAAAAGGATCTGTTTACTTTGTAAACTATGAAAACTGGTTTTCGAATCGACAGAAAATGGAATTTCTGCATACAAGATGAATTCCTGTACGATTATTTGAAGTACAATATTAGTTAATCCAGGACATATTCTTATTGATCCATATTAGCTACTCTATCAGGTGCACGTCATTTATTTGTATATTATTTTCAAAATCAAACACAATATGGTATAAGTGAAGGTGGTTTTACTAGCATTAGTTATGCTTATATAGGTCTTTCAACAGCACATATAAAATTTCGTGCTTGGGATCATGGTGATTTTTAATGGAAACTTTCTACCGAAAGATATTGAATTTTGAAAATAGAAGTTATATGCAATAATTAGTACTAGCAAAATAATCTTTTTGAATAAAGAATTATTAATAATTGTTTACTATACAATAGTATCCGTATGACTCAATAAATAAAAATCTTCCATTATTGATTTTTAATGAAATATTTAATTACAAACAAATCGATCACATCTTATATGAAGCATGAATGAAGTTACATCTTTCTCCTTTAATTTAATTGAGTCTTTCATCTATAAATGATTTGTTTTATCTGAAAAACGGACAGATAAATTTATTTCTATAAGACTCACTCGTTCATTTTGGTAAAATAAGTTTCTTCTGTTATTTTTGTAGTAATATATATATTTTCTTGATAGTGAATGTATGAAATATCATTTGATTTGTATATCTATATGTTTTCAAATAATACAAATAAAAAATCTAGGTCACAGTTCGATTGAAAATTAATTCTATATCTATACACAGTAAGTCTAACACTTGACGGAAACTTTGAATATAAAATGAATGGTTTGTGGATAATTTGATGATACAACTAAACTTAACAGTAATTTATAGAGCTTTATATGAAAAATATCTTCAAGGATAATAACAGTTTTGAAATATTAACTAGATGAAAACCTATAAATTTGAATAAATATTTGTTTCTTTTTTTTGTAAAATTTGGTTATATACACTCACATCTACTTTTCATTTCTTTGTAATCAAGAAAAAGTAAATCATTTAGAACTACAAATTTTTTTTTCGTTCTCATAACTGAATTTTTTGTCGTTCTATTTGTTAATTAAAAACAACCTACAATTACGAATATCTCACTAAAACTAAGTCTTCTTTAGAAAAAATATTGATGAAATTATTTTAAAAGAAGAAAAAAAAACTCTTGTCTGTTTCATCTACGAATATATTTCATTTTAATCATTTCGAATAATTATGCATTATCATGCCACTCCTGTTGCAAATAAACATCTTGCTGAAATATTTTTTCTTAAAAATCAAGCAATTCATGAGAAGAATGTAAATATTCATTTCTATATTTGTTAATACTAGAAGTAAAATATATTAATTGTATTAGATAAAAAATGCACATAGTACATTAGATCGATCCGAACCAATACGTCAATCTCATTGTTCACAACGTATTCGACAAAAACAAGTTAGTCATATGATTAATTTTCAAACTAATTTCTATTTAATATAGATACGAGAATATGAATTAGCAAGAATTGAACGTGAAAATCAACGTCTTCTTGCAAAAATTGCAAAAAATGGATCATTTATTGATAGTCATAATCATTATAATAAGCATACGTATATAAATTAATATGTATTTATTTGTTTGAATTGTCTATTAAATTTAGTTTAAAAACAAAAGATCGAAACTATGAACAAATTGAACATAAGAATGATTTTCAATACCTTCAAAAACGTATAAATCAAGTACGAGCAACATATCCAGCACGTGAATATCAACTCGATTATGCTAAACACCAAATTATTAAAAAACGATTGAGCAGATTTTCATGAAATTATAAATGACTAATTATTTCTTCTTATAATATTATATCTCGAAATAAATCAATCACAAACATTTGTTAATTTTTTCATATAAAATAAAGAATATAAGTTTATTATTCAACTTTTTCATTACCAATAATACTAAATATATCTTTTACGAATGATTATTTATTGGTTGAAATATTTTTTATATGATATCATAGATTTTTTTCTCTTATGTGTCGCAATAATAAAAATATCAATAATTTAATTGTTGCTCATACTAAGTATATTCCTTTTTTTACATCAATTCATATTATATGCGAAAGAACACATAGAAATGTTTAATTCTATTAAAAATAAAATGACAAATATTTAGTTAGTTTCAAAATCATATGAAAACTGATTGTATTTCATATTCGATTTTATTATGCGTAATTTTATTTTTCGACGCTTCGTGTAAACGAACAAAGAAATTGGTTCGATCTGGATATCTTCATCGCACGTTTAAAAAAACATTTTCTGATTTTTCACGCGCAGGATTATCGCGAGGGAAGTATGTAAAAATACTCACGCAGGACTATACAGAAATAATACGAAAAATAGTCTTGTTCATTTTAAACACAAAAGGCATATAAATGAGTAATAATAAAAATTGGCTATTCTTTGATAAATAAGTTTGAGTACTTTTTCAGTACATTATGCAGTCAAACTATTCTTGTCTATTTCATATAATATATATTAAATATCCTTTTTCTCTATAGACGAAGAAACGAGAAAAAAAACAGGTATACTATCAAGCCACGTGGAAGGAAAAACAAATTTATTCTATTCTTTCGCAAAAATACGTCTTACTACTAGCATCGTCACTTGTGTTTTTTTCTTATAAAGAATGGCAGAACAACATGATCATCAACATCATCATCATCATCACCATCACAATCATGATTATGAAAAAGCAAATGCAGATCTTTTTACTGAATATGCAAAAACTTATCGTACTGAATTCTCCTGTGAAATAGCTAAACGATGTGCATCATATATTTTACAAAAATATCCTTTCGATTCAAGTAAAACAGAAGTACTTGATTTTGCTTGTGGACCTGGTCTGGTTGCATTTGAACTTTTACCACATACTAAACGTATTGTAGGTGCTGATTTAGCACAAGGAATGGTAGATGTTTTTAATCAAAGTGTAAGTTGTAATTAATTAAACTTGACAAATTTACATCTTTTTTTTAATATTCTAGGTCGAACATCAAGGAATATCATCAGATAAATTACATTGTGTTCATACTGATGCTTTGAAAGGTGATCAATCTGATCTTAATGGTTCACTCTTCGATGTTATTATGTATGTTATTTAATATGAAAATAATTTATTTATATTCTTATATCATAGTTGTATACAAGCATATCATCATTTTAAAGATCCAACAGATATAACTCGTGCACTTTCTCAACGGCTTAAATCAAAAGGACGTCTGATGATTATTGATTTTATTGATGATAATGAGACGAACAAAGTTTTTCAACAATCACAACATGAAGCACATGCTGATATAGTTGCTCATAGACATGGTTTATATTAATATAAAATTTATTATATTATTTATTTATTTATTTTTAAAAGGTTTTTCATCTGAACAAATAATTAATATGTTTAAAGCAGCTGATTTACAAAATCCTCAAGTCGAGGTATATTGGATTAGTTTAAATAGATTTCATAAATTTTCTTTTTTTTTTCTAGAAAGCATTTCAAATGTCAAAATCTGAAATGAAAACTTATCAAGGTCATGAAGTATTCGGTAAAGCAATGAACAGTGACATCGATTTTATATTAAAGTATTTTATTGCTTATGCTGACAAAGCTTAATTACAAAGAATATTTATTGTATTTGTCTACATAATAAATAGCATTATTTATCTTCAACAAATAAAATCAAAATATAAGAGATTTTAGAAGATAAAGTAAATTATAGGCATGTCCTATTTGAATGAGTTGAATGTTAGAGAATGATATTGATTATACTATCGAAATATTTTGAATATGTCCTATGTAACACTGAGATTTAACTGCAATGAGTCTCCATTTATTATATTTAATCAATTTTCTTCTTTTTTTCACTGTTTATTCAATATCTAATTTATTTTCGGGTCAGATGAACTTATTATAAAATTTAGAACCAGATGAGATGTGTCAAGCGTCTGATTTAGAGGTGTCAACTGTTAACGATAATCAGTTTTGGATATTTCAATGAAACTAACACGTGATACAACTTGTAAAAAGGCTTATATATTTTTTTCTTGGTGCAAAACAAAACGAAACTGTCAATATACGAAATGGCATAGATTAAAGATATTCATTGATTATTTTTCTATCCAAAACAAAGTACTTAAAAAAATATTTATATGATCTCATTATCAGAAATATTCAATAAAATCTATATAACGATTAATTGATAAATACACGAAAATGACTTCCATCGATAATAATCAATCATTATCAATGTATGAGGTAAAATAGTATTTAGAATAAAAAAACTCTTCATTATTTATCTTTAATAAATATTAAAAAGGCTGCAATTGATGGTAATGAACAATATTTTGATAATTGGCTTTCAACAATGAAAGAAAATGGTTTATGTACAAAAACAATTAAGAGTAAAATTGAAAAACTCAATCATGATCAATATTCTGTATTACATTATGCTATTCGATATAATCATTTGAGTTTATCTCGAAAGTTTATTGAAGAATTTCATTGTGGTAGAAAACGAATATTCAAATTTAATTTATTTTATATCTTGAAATAAATAGATATTAATCTTGCTGGTTACAATGGTGAAACATCATTACATACAGCAGCTCGTTATGATATATCAGATAATGTAGATTATGATAGATATTTAAAAGAGTTTTTTTTTGTGAATTATTTTGTGTCTTTAGTTATCTTCAGTTGAATTTTTAATTTCTTATCAAGCTGATTTATGCAAACGCGATAATTATGGTGAACAAATTGAAAAATTTTTGTTTTTAATTTTCTCTTTAGGACGAACACCATTACATCATGCAGCCATGAGAAATAATTATATAAATGCTCAACAATTAATTAAATTCGGTGCAATTATTGATGTAAGAATTTTTCCATAGGGAAAATATTTGAAATATTTTTTCATAATAATAGATTTTTGATAGAAAAAATGCAACGCCACTTCATTTTGCATGTCGATTTAATGCAATTGATTGTGTTCGATTATTTCTTGCACATCAAGCTATGATTGATCGACAAGATGCTAGTGGAAATACACCTCTACATTGTATTGCGCTATCTCAACAAATAATAGAAAATCATATAGATGAAAATGATATATTAAAAATTACAACTGTTCATATGTTATTAAATGCAGCTAAAGATTATCGTCAATTTTATCTTGAAATAGAAAATAAAGATAGAAAAACTGCATTAAGTATTGCCTGTGAATATGGTGATATTAGTTTAATTCGAATTTTACTTATTTATGGTGCTAATATACATAATTCTATGCCTATTCATATGGCAATTAAATCAGGTAATATTGATATTGTTCGATTATTATTAGAATATCAAGTTAAATTAACATTAACTAATATATATTTGGAAACATCATTACATACTGCTTGTAAATATAATCGAATTGATGTTTTACAAATTTTAATAAATTATCAAAATGAAAATATCGATTTAGAAGTTCGAGATTATCAAGGATATACACCATTATTAACAGCTAGTTATTTTAATCATCACGATTGTATTAATATTCTTTTAATGAATAAAGCTGATATAACAGCAAGTGATAATTATGGTAAAAATATTTGTAAGTTATATTTAAATAATATACAAATAAATATATAAATTGATATATTTCTTTCAAGTACATATTTGTGTTGAACAACATTGTCAAGATGCTTTACAAATTTGTCTTGCATGGATAAAAAAAGATACTCATAGCTATAATGTATTTGTGAAAGATGATCGTCATGGTAATACTGTACTTCATGCAGGTATTTATTAGAAAAAAAATGTAGAATATGTCAAGACATCCGGAAAATAAAAAATTCGAAAAAGAAATAAAACATGTCTCTGAAGATGGAAATCTCGCGCCCGAAATCCGCCCAGCGATGTAATATGACAACAGAACGGAGCAAAACAAATGACCAGACGAGAAATCGAACCTCGAACCTACTGCATAACGAGCGGGTGCTCTATTAACTGAGCTAGGGAGTGGGTGTAGGTATGGGTGTGAGATAGGAAGATCCGCCCACACCTACACCCACACCCATCTTCATTATTTCTACTTGTTAGGTCTTCTATGACTATTACACTACGAATAAATTTTTCCTTGATTTCTCACTCTTCAGATTTTTCTTTTTCCGGATTTCTTGACAACACCAAAATGTAGAGTTATACACATATAAACTATAAAGAATGAAAATATAAGATATCGAAGATAGAAGATGTTTCGATAGATCGCGCCCACTTTGTCGACACCCACTTTGCTGAGGATGAATGAGTGAGGGTGTTCTCTGCTTATCTACGTCTACACCCAAGAAACTATGGTGGCGAACCAAGTTGTCGGCAAAGTGTACGAGACCCATTTTCATGAATAAACTAATAAATTGGAAAAAATTTCTAATCGTATGAGTGATAAGTACTTAGTTTAGTATTTAATCTACGTCGTACTAATTAATATCTTACAAACGACGCTTACTATTTAAAAAAATATTGAATAAATTATTTTTAATTTAAATATAATTATTTAGCTGCTAAATATGGTTCATTTGAAACATGTGAAATGTTAATCAATACGATGAAATATATCTTACAATTATCCTGTATTGATAGAAATATTTTTATAAAACAATATTTATCATTAATTTTAAAGAAGAATATTGATAAACGTACATCAATACATGAAGCTGCTAATATAGGCAATTTTGCTATGCTTGAATATCTTTTTCGAATAATGAATAATGAAAATATACAAAATAAAATGATAATTTGTGAAGATCCAGATGATGAATTTAAAACAAGTTTACATCTTGCTGCTGCTCAAGGTAAAATTAAATTCTTCTTCTATTCAAAAAAAAAAATTTGATGTTTATGAATAGGTCATGATGAAATTGTTCAATTTCTTATTAATCAAGGTGCAAATGTTTGTTCATGTGATATGAATGATTCAACTTCGTTACATGAAGCAGCTGCTCATAATCGTTATCATTGTGTTAAAATTCTTCTTGATCATCAAGCACCAATTAATCAATTTGATGGTAAACATTATACACCACTTCATCGTGCTAGTCAACACGGACATTGGAAAATAGTTCGTTTATTACTTAATTCAAATGCGAATGTATCTCTTATTAATTGTGATGGTTATAATAGTTTAGAAGTTGCAATATTAAATAATCATCAATTAACTGTACAAGAATTTCTTAAACATAAAACATGGACAAAATCATTACGTAATTCACAAATAGAAATAATATCAAATAAAAAATATGAAGATTTATCAACACCATTAAGAAAACTTATTCGTTATATGCCAAATGAAGCTAATGAAGTTTTTTCACGATGTATGATTGAAATAGGAAGTCCAGAAGATGATTCATATAAAATTATTTTTAATTATGAATTTCTTGAAGATCAATTTGCAATTTTTAAATGGAAACACGGTAAAAAAATAATATTCATTTTTTTCGATTATAAACATTTGCACATAGTAGTTAGTAAATTATACATTAAACATATGAGATCGAGTAGACTTTAGTACTGTTATTTTATTGTTAGATTCTCCTACTGTACTCATCGATTCGCTACCAATAAAAGTTAATAAATGGAATATATTATCTTATTTTAAATCTCAGAATCAAGTAAATAGAAAAGATTCTACTCGATTTAATTCTCATGTCTATACACTTCGACAAAATCATCCTCTGTATATGATTATAACTTATCATCAATATGATCTACTCAAACATCCACTTATTGATCGTTTAATTAAACGAAAATGGGTACAATTTAGTCGAACTTTTTTTTGGATATTATTTCTTTTCTATGGTATATAAGTTTTCTCTTGTAATTCTCTCTCTATATATATTTCTTAGGTTTTTTCTTAGCATCATTTACTTCAACAATTCTTCGTGTACATCATCCACAATATTATTATTCATTATTTAATGCATCGATATCACTTGTTAGTTGTGAAACAATATCATTAAATCTTCTTCGACATGAATCATTTATGTTAACAAAAAAAAATTTTTATGATACAATGATAAAATGGCTTTTATTTAGTACAATATTAATACATATTATTAAAAATCTCCTATTAATTTGTATACGTTTAAAAATGTTTTTTGGTTATTCGAATATTTTAGAATTAATTGCATTAATTTTAAGTATTATTTTTTCACATGATTTTTATTCTTGGCAAATGTCAATTCGTTTTCGATGTTCATTTCAATGGCAATGTGGAGCAATTGGAATACTTATTGGATGGATAACATTAAGTAATGAATAATGTATTTTAACAAAAGAACCATCTTGAGATTGTGAAATGTAGAGTATCGATCTTAAAAGAATTGCTTAGGTCTAATGACTGAAATAGGATCCATTTTTCCAACAGAAATACTAACTCCTTCTGTCCATCTATTAAGGTATACAGTTTAGTTATCCATAGCTGAATAAATAAAAAGTTTCAGGTAAGAGGTCGAATCTTTTCTATTAATGTATCATTCAGCAGGTGATGTCAAGTAATCCGGAAAGGAAAAATCCACAAAATAAAAATCTGGAAAAATTTTACTCGATATTTGTTAATGATAGAAGACAGAACAAGTAGAAGGTGTAGAAATATTAGAGACAATCTGATAAGCTTATTTCTTTGAAGCCACCGGAAGTGAGAATCCTTCGAGAAGCTCGGCACAATCGGTGACGTTGTTGTAGTTGTGAGTGTTCAGGGTGTGGATGAGGGTGAATGTAGATATGGATGTGTAAGTACGAACTACTCTTCTTCCGCACTAACATCCTCATCCACACCCCTCAAGATATTTTACTTTCTATATGATACTTAACCATTTTATTTCTAAGTTTAGTTACTTATGTACAATTTCTATCAGCTTCTGGTATTTATGTGGTTATGTTAGAAGTAATTGTTCGAAAATTTCTTCGTTTTATTCCAATTTTAATAATATTTGTTCTTGGTTTTGGTTTCTCATTTCATATGTTATTACAAAATCAAAATGTTTATCATCATACATTTGATGCATTAATTCGTACAGTTTTAATGCTTACAGGCGAATTTAATTATGAAGAACATTTATATCGTTTTGAAAATGAAAATGGTCGATATTATTATCAAATTATATTTTTACTTTATGTTTTATTTTGTCTATTAATAACAATATTAATTATGAATTTACTTATTGCAAATGCTGTTGGTGAAATTCCACCATTAATTGAACGTGCTAATGTAAAATATTCTATAATGCATATTAAATTAATTATGGATTATGAAATCTTTTTATCAACATTTAATTGTTTAATTCCATATTTAAAACAACGTGTTAAAATTTTAATTGAACAAAATCAAAATGAAATTATTTATCCAAATAAAATCAATCGTTATAAACATAAATATTATCATATTAAAAAATTTTTTGATGAAAAAAGAAAAAAATCTTTATTTTATTCAAATGAATAAATACTTACCAGAATGATAGAAAAAGAAATGCTAGTATATTTTACTTCACTAATAGAGACCTGCACGGAGTCATTTTCGGAGTGGTCGCCGGAGTCAAGCAAACCTCATGTCGATAATTCAGTTTTAACGTTGAAGATTATTCAAGTTCATAGTTTTGTAGTCCAACATTTTCTCTACAAAATGATGTATTTTGAAGGATAGGTCGATGCTTTGTTGAGCTTCACCAAGACAAAAGAAAATAGGAGTCAAGAAAAGTCAGAGTCATTTTCAACTCCGATTTATTCTGTATTTTATTTTGGTTTTTGAGACTTGCTAAGATGTCTGTCGATCCTTCAAAATACATCATTTTGTAGAGAAGATGTTGGGCAACAAAACTATGAATTTAAATAGTTTTTAACGCTAAAGTTGAATTATTGACATGAGGTTTACTTGACTTCGGCGGCAACTCCGTGCAGGTCTCTATTCACTAATCATCAACAGAACAACATTCAAGATGGATATAATGATTCACTATCTAAATTTATCGTAGCTGAGAGTTTTATTTTGTCACCTATTATTTAATTCATATACGCTTAAAATAAAGAAACTGCAAATAAATATGAATCACCTTCCCATCAGATGTAATTATATCTTAGAATACTCAACATCATATTGTTTATTCATTTCAAACGGACGTGACAATGTGAAAAAAATCTCTGTTATTATTTCTTGTTGATCTAAATGATAATCCTATGTTTATTGATACAATCAAATTTCTCCTCTTTCAAAATTATTAGTTCAGATTATTTTGTACATTCAGTATTGAGTAAACATTTCAACATTAATAAAGTTAAACATCTGGAAAAAGAAACTATATACGTAAATCTATATTCATTTAATAAAATAATGAGATTGATAGTAGAATTATTTTTCAAAAATTGAAACCCTGAAACTTAGAATCATATATTCTCTAGACAAGTCTGAATAATTATTATATATGATCTTACCTATTAGTGATAATTGTGCGAATTATATTTCTGTAATGGAAACTGCATTAAAGAAGAAAGTAATGTGTATATACCAGTACTCATGTATTACATTAATGAAATATGCGATACTAATTGTATAATAGAATTTCAATTCAAACAAAATTGTATTCATTTCTAAACACGATATATTATCAAAAATTTTTTTATAGTTAAGAAATAATAACAATAGTTTTATTTGAAGAATTTAAAGATGAAATCTTAAAACTAAAACGACTATTCAAGTTTGATATATTTCTCATTAATATTAGATAGTCTATATATATGGTTTCCATAATTGTGTTGCCGATGAATTTTGAGAATATGTTGATAAATGATCTAACGAAGAATTATCAATAATAATTTGTAAATATTTTTGTTTGATTCTCTGATGTTGATATGGATATATATTTTTTAATAATTGAATTTGTTTCCATGTTTCAAATGAATATTTTTCATAATTATTTATTATTTGCTTTAAATTTCGAATATAATTAACAGTCATTTCAAGTATTTCAGCTTTTTCGTATTTTTGATATCGTACTCTCTAGATTTAAAAACAAAACAACGGACATGAAGATCATTGAATAAAATACTCAAATAAAATTTTACTTCATCTGTTGATGCTATAAGATCTTTCAATTCACCAAGACTTTTATTAATACGATCACGTCGTTGTTTTTCTACATATGTTTTTACCGACTAAATTAAAGAAATAAAACAATCATGCAATAAAACAATATACTTTTTTCGAGATATGTTTTGAAAGATCAGAATAATTGTACATCAATATCATATTTGAAATTCGAAATATGTTATATATTTAATGAAGAGATACAGAGAGAGAGAGAGAATGAAAATGATTGGATACACTATTCAAAAGAGAAGAAGAAGACGCGTGTGAAAGATAAGATTTATTCAAAAGAAAAATACTTCATCAACTTAAGATTATATCAATGTAATAAATGATTTTTATACATTAGCATATGACAACTGTTTTATATCAAAACCACATAATTATTTTCAATAGCAATTTGTTTCTCTTGTCATTTAACTTCTCAAGCTTGAAGTTACATCTTATTTCATTCAAATGATAAATTTGAAATACAACTATTTAATCTAGTGTAGGCATGTAACCGAATCCGAATTCGAATGCTCGGGTTCGCTACATGCCTAATCTAGGTATTCATTATTTTAAGATAACTAAAAGCGTTTCAAATGACTATTCATGTGTTAAAACTAGTAGAAAAAGAGTGTCATTTAAGTGGTCAGTTGAATAAATGAGACAGTCAGTAAAAAAAAAATTCAAAAATCAGTAGAATTATTGAATGGTCAGTAAAGTAATGGTTGATCAGTGAATTATTGAAATGGTCAGTAATTAATTTGATAGGTTCATAATAAAATTTAAACGATCAGTAAATAAAATGGAACGGAAAGTAAAGAATATAAATTTGTGCAAAGATGGCCTACTTTTCTTTTTTTTACTGACAAAAATCATATTTTTTCACTGCTACTTCCATAAAATCTACGGACCACTTTTGAATTGTATACTGATTTTTTTGAAAACTGACCAATTAATATATTTACTGATGTTTCAATTATTTTACTGACCGCAGAACATATTCCCGTAGAAAAAATATATCGATATAAGAAAAGATCTCTTTTTATCTGTTAAACATTGTATTTATTGATATATATTTTATGTAGCGATTGATTGTTCAAGGTAATGAAATATTATAGAGATTCATCTTGTAAATTTGATAATACATTAATTTCGAATATAACTTTTGAATGGACTGATATTTGATTGATTTATCTGTCGATAGACTTTTACATCAGTATTCTGCTTGGAACGAATATCTGAATAGAACTGCACATGTTTGAGAAATGAAATTAGCTCTTTTTTTTATTCATCATAAAACTAAAACTGCTGTTTAATAAAATCAATGTTAATATCTGTTGCATATGATTAGAGTTTAAGTGAATCTAATTTCTTTTTTACCCATAAAATTCTATCATTTCCCCAGAATGGTTCATCACGTATAACATATGTTGGTACACCAAATATACGATCTTGTTCAGCTTCTTTTTCCGCATTTAAATAATCTTTTTCACCTTGATTATTTAGATAAGCTTGAAAATCTTGAGTAAATTTTTCATAGGATAACTTCTTATCGGATGTTTCATAAAGAAGTTTTGTAATTTCATCAAGACTTTCAAGATTTAATTGACGATTAAAAAAACGTTGAAATGTTTGACGAGCAAATGAAGGAAAAAATTGATTTTTATCAGCATATAAACCACCAATTAATGAAAGACGAGAATTAAATAAACGTTCAGGACCACGAATAATCATTCCACGCTCATTAGCAAAACGTCGACAATCCAAATATAAATATCGAACTTTATTCCAATTTAATCGATTTCTTTCTTGAAGATTTCCACCAAAAGATTCCTCCGGTCGAAATCCCCATGGAATAAAACGTATTTGTATAGGATATTCTTTTTCTAATTGAAAAGTAGATTCTAATGCTAAATAAGCATATGGTGATTTAAAATCATAATAAAATTTCACAATTTCACGTTGTTTTCCAGTTGAAAATGATCGAAGAAATCTCATTGACAACATTCTTGAATAAAACAAAAAAAAAAGACTCAGTTTCTATGTCTTATAACTCTATTGCTTTGATTTATCAAACAAAAGCAACAACAGAGAGAGAGAGAAAGAGAAAAAGAGACAAATGTTCTGTTGTTATTTAACAATAAAATATAAACAAATGTAAGAGAAACTGATTGTAGAAAACATAGGAATAATAAATAACCATACCGCGCACTCAATTCGTGTTATACATATATGTATAGAAAAATAAATATAAGAAAAGAAAACGAACTGTTCGAAAATATTTATGCAGCGGTTTTCGGACGTTTTCTTGTTTGGGCGAGACGTCGTTTTTTTTCGGCTTCTTCACGTAGAATATCTTCAATATCTTCTTGAAGACCTTGTCGACGACTAAAAAAAAAACGAATTCCAACAAATATATATGTATTTAATATGAATTATATACCTGAAATCTTCTTCTTTTTCGATTTGATCAAATGATGATTCCATATTCCGTAAATCATCATCTTCATCATCTAAAAATCGTCCACGATATCTTCAAAGAAAAAGATTTATAAAATATTTGAAATTAAAATTATAATTTACTTGGTTGTATCAAAACGAAAATTCGTCTTTAAAGTTTCGCGAAGTTCTTTTTGATAATCAAAACCACCATCATCATCTTCATCATCAACAATAAAATCACGCATTTCTAAAATAAAACAATATGTTTCAGAAAACTGAATTGCACTACATAACGTCAAGATCAACTGTATATTAAACGAAGAAATCATATCGAATTTAAAAACAGACATACCTTCATCGTCTTCATCATCTGAGTCTTCAAAAGCTGGACGTTTCCGAGCTAAATAAAAAGAAATAAAGTTAGATGCTCTTAACAAATCTATTCTATAGTATAGTTTAATCATTTCATACACTGAAATATTTATTCTGTTTTCTTCGAAAGAGATTAGAAGTAATTGTCAATAGATGAAACGCTAAATCTCGTAAATCATCTAAAAACTTATAGTCATATTTCATTGAAATCTCTAATAATGCATAGTATTATTTTTACAAACAAATATAGATAACTGTAATTTTCTAGTATACTGTTAACTCACAAGGTACAACTGGCGGTCTTTGTCCATTCATTGCTCGATTTGGCGGTAATGATCTTTGTCCATTCATAGGTCGATTTTGAGACATTGGTCTTTGTGCATTCATATTTCGATTCTGAGGTACTGTTGATCTTTGTCCGTCTGTCGGTAGTCGTTGTCCATTCACAGTTCGATTTTGAGGTGCTGTTGGTAGTCTTTGTCCATTTGTTATTCGATTTTGTGGTACTGCTGATCTTTGTCCGTCTGTTGGCAGTCTTTGTACACTAAACGTTTGTTTTTGTACTACTTTCTGTCCATTCGACGTTTGATTTTGCGGTACTTTTTGTCCATTTGATGATGAATTCTGTGGCACTTTTTGTCCATTTGATGTTGTTGAATTGTGCAATACTTTTTGTTTATTCAAAACTTGATTTTGTGTTGCTTTCTGTCCATTTGATGTTGATTTTTGTCCATTTGTTATTCGATTTGTTGCTGGTGGTTGATGTTTAATCGGTTGTTTAATATTAGTTTTTGATGATTGATTTATTCCATTCGATTTTATTTTTGATGGATGAGATGATTTGGTTATGGAAGTTGTTTTTGTTACTTTTGTTGAAATTGTTTTATTAATAGTAGTTGGAATGTTTGATGATTTAGAATTAGACAGACTTTGTTTTGATGTATTCGATGAAGATGACTTATTAGAACTTGAACTTGGTGTTGATGTATTATTTGTACGAGATGCAGTAGCAACATGAGCTAATTCTTTGGGTATTGGTTTTTTATTATTTTTTAACGCTGCATACCGCATCAAATCCTCAAAAGATATTTTTAATGCAGGTTTTTTTACATCAGCTGAAGGTTTAGTCGGAGCTGTAACAGATGGTTTGGATGGAATAGATTTTTGTTGTACTTCTTTTTTTGGTTGAATAAGTGCTTTCTTTTGTTTTTTTAATTCATTAGCTTTTTTTAAACGTTGCTCTTCTGAAATATAAATATGTTTATTTATTTTTCTCAAATATAATATCAAACCAGCTAGTTTTTGTTGTTCTTGTTGTTGTCGACGTCGTCGTTCAAGAATCATTTGAACTGCTGCATTATCAACTGACTGAGATTTATCCGATTTTTGGTTTAATCTCTCTCGTTTTCGTCTTTCTTCTTCGAGCTAAAATGAAATATTTCTTTTTATTGTAATTTATTGTTTTTATTAAATTTTACTTTTTCAGCTGCAGATCGACTATTACTATCAGCAACACGTAATAATTCAAGCCAAGTTTGTGACATTATTTTGTTAAATAAAGACTAAAATGAAAAACAACTTCTCATTTATCTTTCTTACGAAAATACCAACATGTAATAACAATTGTCCATGAATGAATGTTTATTGCTGCAGCTGATCATCACCATCGTCATACTAATTTTTAATTGGTACTAAATCAACCAATGATATTTTATGGCGTAGTATAAAAATAATAGAAAGTGAAGGCAATGAATATAATAATGGCTTGTTTCGTATGCATACCAAGAGTACGAGATATTATCTTACAGTTATCATATGCATCATAAAAGATCTTAGTTTTATTGTTCAAAACTGAAAATACGTTTGAATATTTCATTGGTTATTAACAATAATCTTATTCTATAGTCTCTTTTATTTTTTGTTAATAAAAAAGTCGTATGATTTAGTACGTACGAATATTTACCTTTAATGACCTAAAAACAATGTAAACAATCATAATCCATACTCACTCAAGAGCATCGAAATATCCTATTCATACATGTACTTTTAACTAACGAAAGAAAAAGGATTTTCGCTCATAAGCCTTTTTCGCTGTAATACGAACTTTTAGAGTTTAAAGTCAAAAGTACATATCAAACTCTTGTTGTTTTTGAACTTCAATACTAACATAGATCAAGATAAAAATTTATTTTTCAAAATACTCAGAGATAGAATATGGAGTTATTGAAAGGCTCATATTGTAATATACATCTGATGATCGAGCTTCGATATAAAAGTGATACCAAACATGATATATTTTACAGAACTCATTTATAGTCAAAACGAACATAAACTTCAGAATAAAAAGAATCTTCTATAGAGATATAGCGTATTTTATTTCATACTTTGATCTTGTGAATTACTCATGGATTATTTCGTTTTATATTCTACGATCCAGATACAACGATCTTTTAGAGTTTCTATAGTCTCATTAAGTTTTGGCTATGAAAAAAATATAAAGATTTACTCGTCGATAATAATCATGTGACTTTAGATGCATACACATCATATTCAAATAAACATAATAATTATCTCATGCTTGATTAGTATATATATTAGTAAATTTTATTAATGATAACCATAAAAAAATAACGCAGTGTTTTTACGATATTTTTTAGAAGAAGTTTTTTTTAAAACTTCAATAGAGTTTTGTAACCATTTTAAATATTATTTCGTAATTATTATTATTATGCAGTATTTTGGGACAATAGACCATAATAGATTCCACGTTGTTGTATTAAATCTGTATGTGTGCCACTTTCTACAATGCGTCCTCTTTCAAGTACACAAATTAAATCACATGAACGAATAGTCGATAAACGATGTGCAATAATAAGTGATGTTCGAGTAGGATCTTCTGTTTGAGCTTGTTCAAGTGCCTGTTGAACAATCTACAATTGAGAAAAAAAAACAAATACATATTAGCTTTTTTAAAACAAAATAAAAACTTTACTTGTTCATTGTACGAATCCATAGCACTTGTAGCTTCATCTAATAACAATATTTTAGGTCGACGAAGAAGGACTCGAGCAATAGCAATACGTTGTTTTTCACCACCCGATAGAAAACTACCTTTCATTCCTACTCTGGTATCATAAGCCTTCAAAATATCATACAAAAAATATAGATTAATTAAATATTAATTTTACCTGAGGCAATTGATTAATAAACTGATGAATATTAGCTTTAATTGCTGCATCAATAATCTCTGACATTGGAATATTTTCTAATCCATATGTTATATTTTCAGCAATTGTTAAATCAAATAAAATTGGTTCTTGACTAACAAGACCAATACGTGAACGAAGCCATTGAAGATTTAATTCTCGAATATCAACACCATCAAGTAACTAATTGTACATTTATTAATGATATATACATATTAGAATAAGTATACTAACCACTCGACCTTGCGAAGAATCATAGAATCGTTCTAACAATTGAATAGTTGTTGATTTTCCACATCCCGATGTACCTATATTGATATAATTAATATTGATAACAAAAAAAAATAATTTATTGAAACATACCAACAAGTGCCACACGTTGACCTTATAAGAAAATAATAAAAATCTCAAATTGATAATAATCTCTTTAGTTTACCTGATTTAGCGGATAATCGAAGTTTATTAAGAACAAGAGTTGTTGGTCGAGTTGGATAGACAAATTTGACTTGTTCGAATTCAATATCACCACGAAAGTCAGGCTAGATAATTCAAAATAAAAATATATCAAATAAAAATCTATATTTTCATACCAATTCTTTTCCTTTAGTAGATATATTGTCAATCTCTGGTGTTCGATCAAATAATTCAAAGAATGTATCAGCAGCTGACATTGAAAATCCAAGACGTTCAGCACTTAAATACAAGTAATAAAATATAAAACAAAATTAAAAATCTAACATTCTTACAGCATGCCAACAATTTTCAATGATTGTAATGCAAATGTAGCAAATGCAAAAACCCTAAAGAAATCAAAAGATCATATATAATTAAATTATCGTTTTAATTACATTATAATTTTGTTTGGATCTAGTACATGCTGTTCAACTAGAACAAGTGCACGCCAATATAAACATGCTATAATTAATGGATCTATTGCCCAAAATAAGCCAAACATTGCTGCAGCTAATATTGCAGGTTGCCAGAATAGTCTATATAAAGAAAAAAATCTATTTAAATAAATAGAATTTGTAAGACTAACCCCATTATGTCATCTCGATCTTTAGAATATCGTCGAAAAACTTCATCTTCTATTGATAATTGTTTTACTGTACGTATATTATGAAGAACTTCAACAGAAAGCTGAAAAAAACAAATGCTCGAATGTATATCAAAATTATAAATTTACTGTGCTTGATCGTTCAATAACAATATTGAGTTGTGTTTTTAACCATCTACTCAATTGCATTTTAGCAATAGCAATAAGACCTGGAAAAAGAAGAAAGGCAAGGACAACCAATGTTAATTGTATACTGAAGATAACACCAAATAATAAACCAAAGAAAGCTAAAGCTAAAGATTCACATAAAACACCTAATCTTGTTCCAGCTAATTCTTGAACGTCTGCGGCTTCAGAAGATAGACGAGTACTAATAGCACCAGAAGTATTTTCAGGTCGATCAAAATAAGCAACTTCTTGACGAAGAAGACATTTAAATGCTTTTGCACGAATACGATGTGTTAATTTCGATCCTGATATAGCAAAAGCAGTATACTATAGAGACAAATGTAATAAAAAAAGGCTATTGATTAATTTTAAGGATAAGATTTTTACTTGAACGAATCGAATCACCAATATGACAAGACCCAACAATATAAAGAAAACACATAAAATAAATACTTGATGATGTGGATTAGTATTATCACAACTTTTAAATGCCTATACAAATTGATACATATTTTCTTTTCATAATAAATTACTTACTTTAACTATTTTCGCTAGTAGAGCAGCGAACACTGGTTGACCCAATGCTTCTATTATACATGCTATACAACCGATTACAATATTGATCCATTCGGTTTTATTCATTAACAATAATCTTACAAAAGGAGATCGTTTATTTGATGATATTGAACCTTTCTAAAAACAAAAGTTATTTATTCATAACAAAATTTTTTAAACCGATCATATATTTATACTTACTCTAGTGACATCAATAGCTTCACCTTCACTAAATGCACGAACACGTTCCGCTATACAAAAAATCAAATTTAGAAAAAAGAATAACTATTCATATTAAAATATGAACATACTCCTTCGTTTTTCCTCTTCAGCTACTGCTGTTGCCATAGATATTTGATCAGTATCATCAGGTTCACCTTCTGTTTGTTGACTTTTAACTAATGTTCGATATCTACCATCTTCTTTTGCCATTAATGTTTCATGTGTACCTTCTTCGATGACATTTCCTTTATCTAACACATATATTTTATCAGCATTTTGAATAGTAGTTAAACGATGAGCAACAATGATAGTTGTACGATCTATAGTATAATAATAATAATATATTCAATAATAATTAAATAATTTTTACTTTTGCATGCTCGATCAAGTGCTTCTTGAACAATTTTCTCACTAACATTATCAAGTGCACTTGTTGCCTCATCTAATAAAAGAATGCTGGGCTGTTTGACAAGTGCACGAGCTAATGCAACACGTTGTTTTTCACCACCACTCAATTGTACACCACGTTCACCAACAAGTGTTTCATATTTCTATAAATAATAATACATATAGATAAAAAGAAATAATTAAACACAAACATTCGGTAATTTCATAATGAAATTATGTGCATTAGCTTGTCGTGCTGCTTCTTCAATTTCTGCACGTGTTGCATTTAATTTACCAAGACGAATATTTTCATAAATATTCATTCCAAACAATATCTGGTACAATAGAAAAAATTGAAAAAAATAATTAAAAGCAAAACAAAGAAACATACAGGTTCTTGACTAACAATTCCAATATTTTGTCGAAATTGTTTAATATTAAAATCTGTAATTGGTCTACCATTAATCGTAACTCGACCTAATAAAGGTTCATAGTAACGAAGAAGAAGTGATATACATGTACTTTTTCCTAATAAAAATTAATCGTATGAAAAAACATTTTTTTTTTTGTCAAATATTAGAAATGATTTACCACAACCACTTGAACCAACAAGAGCCGTTGTTTCATTGGCACGTGCAACTAGATTGATATTACGTAAAACGGGTGTTGTGTCTCGAGATGGATACATAAAGCTGACATTCTCAAATGCAACATCACCAATTATAGTCGAATCTGGAGTTAATGAAGTATCTTTCATTA